TGCACTTTAAGATGGCGTCTATTTTTCGATTTAATAAACATCTTTACCTTGGACGTATTGTTTTCCAAAATTTTAATGACCATGTGCCACCCTCTTGAGTATCTTTTCTTTGTCTAATGGTTGTGCATAAGGGACACATGAATATGGACACAACTCAAACAAAGAATCTTGTTCTCAAGACAATGACACGTTGTCTGACATGGGAAAACAATATGTATATAATATAAAAGACATTTCTAGTTATAGTTTATTTTGTTCTAAAGTGAAAGCAGAGCTAAAGAAGCGATATGACATTACTTGATTTTTATTAATTAATTTATCTTTCACCTGATTGATGGATATTGGTGCTGCGCTGCTGTACCCTGGGCAATTATTGGGTCGTGGCATTTGGGACAGTTTTCTCTTTGTCTGTTGCCCCGATATCTCGACCTGGGGTGGTTGCTTGGGGGCGGTGGGCGTAGYCCCAGTATCTTCAGTTTTTGTCCTTTTTATTTATGTATAATAATTGTCTAGCTTAGAATAATCCAATAGTAATTATGTCAATCTTCTTTCTTATTATGTCTAATTTATTTTATAGCTTCATAGTTTATCGTAAATTTATCTTGTGTGTATGTTATTGTAAATTAGATAGTTTTATCAATAGGAGAAGAGCCACCTCGTGAATTCTATTGATTAAACCATTATTATTATTATTATTATTATTATTATTATTATTATAATTATATGCCCAAGGTAAAGAGGTCAGGTGAGTTTCAAAAGCTTCATTATTTATTTATTATTTTTGTTCTTGGGTTTTCCATTTACAGCTAATCCGTCTTCCTCCAGCACTGGTTTAATAATAGGACTAGCGATCCTTGCTTTGATGGTCGTCGCTGTTGCCATTGTAGGATTCTTATATTATCAAAGGTATGACTGGAAGATGTTGATGCATACTATCAATCAACATTAACATAAGCCATTATTAGTGAAGAAACTAAGGCTGGGGCCTTAGAGGGGAGGGGGGGGTGGGTTATCAGTAAATATTTGAACTTTTTTTGGAGGGTCAAACCTTTATTTTGACGAAAGTTGTTTCCTTGTTGCCTTAAAAGCAGCGTCATGAACATTTTACTGCGAGAAAGGGGGACGGCTACAACCGTTTTAAAAACGTTTACTACGAATCCCCCAACCCTTCTCCCAACCCAATATAAAACGTACCTTCTGCTTAGGAACATCACTTTGCATCTCTAAGTCAGCGTATTTGGTTCAGGTTATCTCTTGAATGAATCAGCCACTCAGTTATGCCAAGGAACCTGGAGAGATAGGGGCGACGTTTCTTGTATAATGTGACATTAGGCACAGGTGATTCATAAAAACAGCGATAAAAATGCCAACCGTGAACTCCCCATTGTTCATCCTACTCAATTCCACTAGAAGTGGAGCAGAATAGTCAACGAGTAAATGAGATAACTTCCTGACGTATGCCAATGTGGTATGCTATAACACTGATAACTCGATTCATTCATAAAAATAGCGGTTGCGTCTTTTGACACTTTCCCAGGGAATAAAGGGAGACTGAAGCGGAAAGAAAGAGAAATGTGACCCACCAAGAGAATTCCATACATAATTTAAATGCAATGGCCTTTATTTTACAGGAGAAAGAACCAAAATAAGCAAGTAAATATTGAAGACAGAGCTATTCTTCGCCGTGATAGTCCTCACCAGAATGTACAACGTAATGTCTCGACCAGGGACATCACAAGATCGGAGAAAAAGTACATTAATCAAGCCTTCACTAACTCCATTTATGATGACGATGGTGGTGACGAAGAAATGTTCATGGTCGAGGTGGACCTTTCATCGCCCAAAAAGAAAGACACACCCATAACCAAGGTGCAAGACATTGACATTAAGGCTCAGGACACAAGGGCGGATACAGGGTTTTTTGAAGGGGGGGGGGGGGTCTCAGGGGTAAATTTTGTGGGCAAAGGAATCCCAGTCGCATTTTTACCACAGGAAGCCCATTTGACCTCAGGAATGACAGGGGGGTCGCGACCCCCCCGACCCTCCCCCTGGATCCGCCCTTGGGACAAACTTTGAACTTCTCATGAGCCGAATCTAATCGAAACAGTGGATAACAAGGCGGTCTTCTTTGATATCATTAGGTTCGGCTCTCGTGAAGTTCGACGTTTGACATAGCCAAACTGATGTCTTTAAAATTATAGATGATAGAAAAATTATGTATACACGTATTGATGTTGCTAGATTTGATCAATGGAAGCAAAGATAATGAAAGCTAATAGACGCTTTGCACGTATCGGCGCCCATAATACAGCTTTGACTGCCTGTGGTTAGATGGCAGAATAATATGTATAATAATAATAATAATAAATAATGTAAAACGATTGTAGTGTTCCTGCCATCTAACATGGCTGCCGTCACGTGATGGTGCAAAACCTCTAATACAGTTAAAAGCATTCCAAAATACAAGCCTATTACACTAACACAAGCCGTTTAGAAATGCCGAATTTCAAACCAGAAAGTGAAGTAAAAAATTGTGAAGAACATATACTGCTGTATACTAACAGTTCGCACTTTATTTTCAGCTCCTCGAAGAGCCTTGGTATTACGACAAAATAACCTCCATCGAAGCAGAAGACCTTCTCGATTCAAAAGTACAACCAGGCACGTTCTTGGTACGTAAAGGACTAAACCCAAACGAATATGTACTTACTGTAAGATGTCCCGAAGGAGGTCCCTCTCACAGACACCTTGTGCTTAAGTACACAAGTAAGCAGAAATTTGAAGTTCAGTTTGGTACCATGCCCCTGGCGCTAGACTTCGACACAGTTGGTGACGTCATTGACCATTTCCAGGCAACGCCCATTGAGTTTGGACCAAATGTTCCGGATGTAGTGTTGACGAATGGCTGGTGTAAGAGTCAAGGGTAAAATCTCTCAGTTCAAAAATAATCACGGCAATCAGTATGCAGCATTATTCTTAACGATAACACTCAAATAGGTTATCTACAATCATTTCTCAGCAAATAAAATAGTAAATGAATTGATGGCCAAGTTAGTTGATAAAACTAACTATGAACAGCAATTTCCAGAACCAAATTTTTTTTGCGCTAGATTATGAGTAAATCTTTTAAAATCTGTATCATGACCGCTTTGTGCAAGAGCTGTATTTTGATACAATGTTAGATAATCGTAGTTCGTCTCCATCATTTTCTATTTCTGATATGTTCTTAATACTTCGAAAAATTTAGTAGAAAAAACTACAAAACGTACTCAAGTTAAATATCATTCAAAGGTAACAGATTCGCGTGACGTCACGTCGCGTCACGTAGTAATTTCCCGCTAAAAAAAAGCGCGTTCTCGTAAGCATTCTTCTTCCAAAACTAATCAAACATGATGGACAAATAATTTCCAGAACAGAGTTAAAAGTTAAAATAGCTGAGAAAATATAATCTAGTGAACCAAATGAATATCGTAAATTATTTCATCGAAAAATTTTTTTTCAACTTTCATTTAATGAACAAAAAGATGACTAAATTTCATTATAATTAGAACATATAAAAATGTAGTTCATATGATATAAATATTTTGTTAATATATAGATGGAGAACATACATTTTGAAAAAAATATATATAATTTTGTAAATAACTGAATGTAGATTTTATTTACGAAATTTTTACTAATAAAATTTAAGTTAATCTATTGGTTGAAGTTTTCTTTTAATTATGCTTCGATAAAAACAGCATTCTTTTACGTGCTAAAATTTCGGAAAACGTACCGAGGTGTGCGCATGCGCAAACGTTTTTCTCGATTCTCGTTCCTAGAGCTAGCATTTCTTTTGGTCAACACACCTCATATCTCGCTGATGTCCAACACAGACGTTTATGAACATAAAATTGATGCTGGAATGGAGGTAGACTTGGATAATTGAAGCGAGCCTCAGATGAAAGGCGAGATATACAGTAGCACCTCTATTAAGCGACCACCCTTGGAGAATTGCTCGAAGTGGTCGTTAAATATAGGTTGGTCGCTCGATAGAGATATAAATTACTGCAAAAACCCCTTTCGCGGACTAGGACAACTGGCCGCTAAATAGAGGTTTTACTGTATTTTGAACACAATCTCTATCATCTTATCCACTTGAAGAATTTACAACGTGCTTCCTTATTAGAGTAATGTCCCTCTGGCCTTGCACAGCAGTGAAACTGCCGTCCATAGTTAGGGCCCTTTTTCTTTACGGTCCTCAAAACACAAGGTTCATTATGTCCCAGACATAGGGGTGCAGGGGGAGGCCCCTTTAGAATGCTTTTCCAAGCTGCAACGTCGGTTTTTTTATTACTGTCAATAGATTCTGTCGAGCTCTGAGAATCGGCGCCATTTTCAAACGGTGCAGTTGAATCTGTGGAAACTTCAGAGTTCTGTTTTTGAGAATCAGATTGATCCATAATATTTACCTTGTCAGGTTTACTTTCCTTACCCAAATCACTGTTTGAAATACCTTCAGAATCCTCTGATTTTTCTTCTTTTTCCTCAACGCATGACGAAGAATTAACCTCTGCAGAAATCTTGACATCTTCTTTCTTTCCAAAAAATTGGAAAATGCTTTTCTTTTTTACTGACTGTGAAGTCTTTGGTCGTTTTGCTTGAGAAGCTGCCTCGAAGCTTCCAGTGCGCTTCAACGAACTACCTTTCTTTAATTCTGGTTTTACATCATCTTTGGGCGTAGCTTCTTGAGATGAACTTTCGGCTTCACTGTCCGTTTCTGTAGCATCATTTGAAGTTTCAACCACTTTCTTCATAAAATAAGAAGCAAGTTTCTGTTGTTTTCCTGCAAACTCAGGCATAAAACGCGAACACAATGGGGGTGGTCGTTTGGAAGGCATAATCCGGCCACTCAGAAATGCGACCACCGGGCAGTGGTCGGATCCTTCAACCTCTGGTCGTATAATAACATCCACAAATCTCTGCTTTACCAATGAAAGATCAGCTACAATATAATCCAGTCTGTTACCATAGTTGGTTAGCCGTGCTCCTGTTGACGTGCACCAGTTGGTGAAAGCATCTTTTCGTGCTGGATAGATATAACGGAATGAATCAACCAGTATTCTACCCTCTAGAGCTTGTTTATCTGGGTCAACATTTTCAGTTCTTTTAAAATAAGGACTGTAGAGGCCTGCCGTTTGTAATTTCGGTAATGTTGTTCCTGTACGAGCGACATTCTTTACTGTGATGTCTTTGATAAACTGACTCATCCATATCCTGCTAGGATATGCATTGAATTTTTCCTGCAAATCAAATTAGAAGATAAATATTATTTTTATTCCTTCCTACCTTTCCTCCATTCCCATTTTTCCCTCCCCTCCTCTTTTCTCCATCCCTTCTTTTCTTCCTTGCTTGCTTCCTCTCTCCCCTCTTTCCCATCCTCCCTGCCTTTCTTCATTTCTTTCTTTTTTCCTTCCTTCTGTCTACCCTTCCTTCCTTATATCTTCCTTGATTTATTTCTTCCTTGCCATTCCATCCCTCCCTCCCCCCTTCTCCTCCCTCCCCCTTCTCCTCCCCCCACCTTCTCCTTCCTTCCCCTTCTTCTCCCTCCACCTTCTCCTCCCTTGTGCATATTCATTCATTATAGAGGCACTATCAGAGACTTGATTATGGGTTGAAAATGCTTTCCTGTGTGATTGAGATCATTCAATAATGCATCCCTAATGTACAATGTATATGCCATCATAGCTTGGCTGTTTCAACATCTTCACATTTCAGACTATGTATAATTCTCTTGAGAACTAGTTTCTTTGTTTGAGTTTTATCTAAGTATATTCATGTGTCTTCTCGTGCACAACCGTTAAACAAAGAAATGATGCTATAGGGAATATTGATATGTGGTCTGAAATGAGAATTTAAAAATACATCCAATCTAAAAAGAATTATAAAATAACTGTTCTGATAGGTTGGTAGCGTGTGCTTTATGAGAGCACACAGCACGCATGCGCACTAATTTATATTTTATAAAAGAAATAAAAAACTTTCTTGGTTTGCTGTGTGCAACTATAAAGCACTTGGGGATTGTCAGAACACTTATGCTATGTGTCGTGCTTCTCCTAACACTTCTCTCTTCTGTTCTGCCAACCCCCGCGTGCTTTATAACTGCACACAGCACGCTCACACATTTTCTATTTCTTTACTACTACCAATACTTACAGGATCTCCAGGGTTACAGTGATCAATGGGCTTATGAGCTAGATTCATATCCCCAAGAACAATCACATGCCTGTATCAAATCATAAAACAAACTATCAATACTTTACATCATTTAAAACTTGTTCTGGTTGCCTAGTTACAGAAAAATTTTATAAATGTAAATTTGCTATGAGGAAAATAGAAATCCTTCAAAAAACATTCTTTTTTCATTATTTAATTAATTATTTAATTTATCTAATTATCTAATAATGATATACTCTTAGTTTAAGACACCTGACACCTGTCAATCATTAATTTTACCAAATATGAACTTGTATGAATAATTAGTTTGCAATGCTTCAGCTTTCTAAACCTTTATTTTTATGAAGATTTCCGAGTCATTTTGGCAAGGTCTAGAATCTGTGTAGATAGTTTCCAAAGAAATTATGGAGCTTGAGGAACTACTGTATAAAATATTTCTGATGTTTTGTGAGCTATTTGAATCCAATATAGGGGCAAAGAGGCACCTCCCCGATAGAGAGCAAAAAACTAGAAAAATAGTATCACTTTAACACCTTGTTTTAACAAACAAGTGTGTGTGTGCAGGAAGTTATTGTCATCAATTCACAACAATTTTAAGGTAAGATGTTTAATGTATGAATTTGCTCCTTGCTTTGAGTTAAAATCATTCCTACTTTTATGATTGTAGAGTTTGTTAACTAAGTGATTAGGAAATGTTTTGCTTAGTGCAGTGAAACATCAATGTAAAGTTTGCTTATTGCTACTGTATAATATTCTTATGAAGTCATCCAGCCAATTCAGCTGATTGAAAGCAACAAGTACTTTTCAAGTATTTCACATACTGTATCTATAGACATGGTTATTTCAATGATAGACTTTCCTTGCATTCCTCAAGGTGCTCTCACCTCTGTGGTCTCAGTTTTTAATTTTTTGGGTCTCTCTATTCTAGCTTAATTGGTTTGAAGGGTTTTGCCCTCAAATCAATTAAGCTGAAGGGGTTTTTTTCTCCTCTGGTTTTCTGCCTCCACAACACGCAACAAGCTACAGCAATATGCAATAGGCCCTTTGCAGCTCAGTAATCACGTGCTGATTAATTCACTGTGAGCAAATGAATGAACATCTTGATTCCCATGGGTGAAATTTACTGGTGAGCAAACAATCTTTCTACAACCTGTTTCAAGAGATCGTAATAAAACTGCATTTCGTAACACACTGGATACTCATCATTTCATTCAGTTCTTTACAAGTAGCTAAAAAGAATCACCAATTTTAAATAAAATAAAAAATTTTGCTCACCAGTACAGACACGTGGCTGTTAACTGCAAAGGGCGTATTACTGAGCTGTGTACTGATGTACTGTAGGGTACCTTTTTCAAGCACGATACTCTAATTTTACTCAAATTATATAGTCCACATAGGTAAGCATTTATAAAAGACATACCCAGATTTAGATCAGCCCAGACCTTGTTGAAAAATAATATCTGTGATCCCAAGCCTTACCTTCCAGATGCGACCAATGCCTCCACCCTGATCTGCAGAAGTTTATAGTATCTCATCTTGAATTCCATTCTTTCTTCATTCTCTGTTTCCGCCCTTGGACAGTATACATTGACAATAACCACTTTGTCGCCATTGTCCAGAGTGTGTTCTGTCAATACTGCTCTGCCTTCCCTATCAAGAGTTGATAACTGGTCCGAGGTGAAGCAATCTGTGGTACCATAGCAACCAATAGACGGTTCTTGAGTCCACATGGCTGTTAGACCCTCTTCTGCTGCACATGGCATAGTCTTGTCCTTGCAAAATGTGGCAACTCCTAATAATTTCCCACAAAATGAAAACCAAATTAACAAAACTAGAGTTTTGAGTTCTCAGTTACAGTACTTAGGGTTGGCCCAGTTTAATTTTGTGTAAATATTAATGTGTTCCACAAAGACGCACCAGATCTCAAAGTGTTTGTATTGCTGAAGTCGTGCATTCTTATTTTATCAATTGGATATTAGTAAATATTCTATTGATTGGCCGCCCATCAGGTAGGGATTCTACCATATGTACAAATACTAATAGTAATGTAAAGTAAGAAATATATGCCTGAAAATGTGAAATTTAATGAACTTTCTAGATGGTACAGTATAAGGTATAACGTTTAATGCCTCGAAATATGTTATATGCGTTATAGTATTTTCTAGTCTGGACTACGTACATGCATAAATTCTGTGCAATACAAACCTGAATAACCAGTTTTTACTCTTGAAAAGCTGAAGTAAGCATTGTATCCCTCAACCATACATATTGATTCCTCTAGCATGTCACCTGCAATCAAAAACACGTTTTTATATATACTAGTTTAGATCAGGACTTTCACTTAATAAGTTGGTGGCTGCCGGAGCTCTGACAGTTGCTTGGATTTGTTACTGTAACTGCTGGCTACTTTTTCTTTTCCATAAAAAAGTATCATTAACCTATCAGATCACAGTATGCTACTTCAGACTTTCTCTACTCCAAAACATTCTCGACTGAAAGTACTGCTAGTTATCCAAGGGTTGTAAGTGGCAAACCATGAAATATCTCACTATGCGCTTGTATTTTCTTGTATTGACACTAGCCTTTGGGTGAGTGTGGGTACAAGAGGAATATTCCATGGGGTGCCACGAGACAACATTGAATATGCAATGCCTGTTGGGAAAGAACAGTGGAATATTGCTGAATATATGACAGTGTTCCTGCATTCCAATGAATTACAATGTGTGATTATTGATTCCTTCATTTTCATTCATTTATTCATCCATTTATTCATCCTTTTAATAGTACTACATAATGTAACTGACACTAGTGCTAATGATGACAATACAAAACAATAGACAGTGCACTACTTCATACAATGCAGTGCAACATAAAGTTAGATCTGTTTTATGGATTAAATGTTTGCGCTCTATATCCTCAAGCTAGCATCAAGTTTAGACCAGAGTCTAGATCTGAGTTAGACTATATAAATGCTCTTTATGTTAGACAAGACGGTTCTAAATTTCAGCATAAGCACAAGCACAGACGTCAAACGTTTAAATGTCGAAAAACAATCGATAGATACAAGAATTAAAACTCTAGAATTAGGCTTTCAGCCAAAGATCGTGACGCATGGAGCTGACACATGGCAAGCAGATCACTTTATAGTAGTAAAATACAATCAAACAAACACTCACGCGTGATTTTTGTCTCTTGAAAACACATTATATCAGCCTCAAGCGAATCCAGAAATTCCTTTAAGCTTTTCCCTCGAGTAACTGCTCTAATACCGTTAATATTAAAGGTCATGATTTTTAGTTTTTTTGTTGGTCTGTTTTCATTGACCGCCATTTTAAATCCAATAATAGAGTACAAAGACAACTTTGTCCTTATGGGAGGGGTCGGCAGGTCATTTAGAGCACCTTACTTTTTTAGTAAAAATGAATACGTAAAATCACATATTTTGGATTATACGATTTGAAAATATTCCTCAGATCATTACTAAAAGTTTTAACTTCTTTAACTCTATTTTTCTTGCTTGAAGGAGCATTTTAAGCTTAGTTTTCTTAAAAGTAATTTGGTGATTACTCTACCCCTCCCCCCTAAAAATTCAACTTGAAGTTTTAACCACAGGGAACCCAAACTTCTTTTATAATAATTAGAATATTTATAGCAAAAAAGATAATATAGTTTTCTCAAGCTTTTTCATTATTAAAAAAAGAGGTAAATTTATAAAACTGATTAAAAACTCTTGCAATTCGTTCTAAATTTTCTAACTTTTCATAAAATTCATTAAAACCAAACTTGGGCTTCCTGTGTTTTTTTTTCTATATCCAGCTGTGTTGTAAAAAACAAAGTGATAAGTTGACATAAAATTTTCTTAAATTTAACCCAGTCTCAGAGATTTTCTCGATATTCTGAAGCAAGATAAACGTTTACAATGGCCTCGTCTAAGAGTAGTGAAGAGGAAGCCCTGAAAGTAGGAGGCATGTTTGCTGTACACCCCAATAAAGACTGTCCACATGTAGAGGTAAGATAATTTACTTTTCTATAAATTTATTAACTTCCGCCTTTACAATGGCAAATTCTCATCTTCGGCATTCTTTTCCCTGGGCTTTTTATTTTATTTAAGATGCTAAAATGTCTCCTTATTTACGAGGACTTTTTTTAAAGCTGTTAAAATTATGGCGTAATGAAATAAAACTAAAACTGTCGAAAAAACTGGGGAGCAAGGTTTTTGAAAAACTAGTAACCTATAATGTAAGGAAATATGCTTGTTTAAAGCTTTTATTGCGATTTTAAATTCATTTTAAATTCGACTTAAGAGTGCTTAAGTTAAAGGTCAGTTTAATAGACCCATTGCTGTAAACTGGACTCTCAAAGAGCTCACTATCTAGAGTAGTTAATATATGACACAGCAATCTTTACTAAAAAGTTCCACTTTGAAATTCTGCAAGTCCAATTTATTTTGTGTATAAGCTTGATTGTCTGTTAAACCTTTGTAATATGGACTTTAAAGTGTTCGTATTAGTGAATATGCAGATCTGCTGATAAGGGAGTGCCACCAGAAGGAAAGAAAGTATTCATATTAA